ATTGGTAGATCTGTAAAATTCTCCAGTCATTCCACTCTGTTTTAATCAATTTAAACATTGGTTTTCAAGGTTTTTGAATCAATATTTTTCTATGAATATTTTTATTTTGGTAGTTGTTGGTAGATGTGTGAAATTCTCCAATAATTGCATTCTGTTTTAATCAATTTAAACATTGGTTGTCAAGGAATTTTTATCAATACTTTTCTATGAATATTTTCCTTTATTGATAGATCTGTAAAATTCCCCAATAATTTCACTCTGTATTAATCAATTTAAACATTCCTTTTCAAGGCTTTTGTATCAATCTTTTTCTATCAATCTATTTCTTTAGTCAGTTATTGATAAATTTGTGTAATTCCCCATTAATTGCACTCCTCATTTATAAATGTTCTCCCACAACAATTGTTAAGGTTTGTGACTCAAAACAGTCAACTTACTATTTAATTATAACGCAATCTGTTCCTTCCTATGCATTTGAAAGTTCCACATTACAGTGTCTAATTTTTAAATCATCAAGAGGTACCAACTCTACAACCAAGTTCCACATTACAGTGTCTAATTTTTAAATCACCAAAATATTCTTCGTTTCCATATTTTCTCGACCACAAAAACTCTTTCTTTCCACCTCCCTTCGTTCCCATTAAGTCTTATTTACCAATCCATCTATCGGTTAAGCGCATTTAACATCGGGAACAAACGAAACACCGTTGAATTCCGGGCAGAGTCATTTTTTAATCGTTCATGCACGAGCCCCGAGCAAACGTCCAGGGAACGAGCTGCAAATAGTCGTCCGTGCAAATTAAACGAACCACATTGTACCCGGACAAGCTCTCCGCGAACCGAGATGGCAAAGAGAGAGATAAAAAAAGGCCAGTAACAAGAATCATCTGCTCGAGCATATTTTTTGTCGAGACAGGGGGGAAAAAATCGAGGGAAAAATCAACGAAACATATGGAAAACCGTGATTTTTTGGGGATTCCCGACGACGATTTTCCAAACACCGCGTGTAACCTGGGCGGATTAAATCCGAGGGATGGAAATCGATTGTTGCGTTTCCGCGGCAGAAAGCGTTACGTGTACCGTTGCGTCGTCGTTGCACACGGGTGCACGTGCATTCGTCTCGTTTACGCTCGTCCGGCCTCTCGAGCGGTAATTAATTAGCCAGGGGTCGTAATAATTTTCGTTAAACGGAAGACACGGCTCGCGAGCATCGGGACACCGATCCAGGACAGTTTGCGAACAGTTTCCCTCGAGTAAACTATTTTTCAATTGTTGGTGCAATACAAAAGGGACTATTTTGCATGGGGGAAAGTATACAATTTTTTTAGACGATTTTTGTATGTAAACTGGCGAGAGTAGTTTTGGAAAATTAGCCCAGAGGAATTGCTTTGTATTTTGTTTATTTTAAAAAGCTCTATTAACTGATAAAATAAATCAGAAAAAAGTAATATAAACTGTCAGGATTATTACATTTTTACAATGAGGGGTTAAAAAGTATTGCAATATAGTACGATTAATAATAGAAATATTACTACTTTTTTACGTTGCTCCACCTCGAGAGATTAATGACTAAAATATCCTTAATCAAGTAATTTTTTTAAACACTACTCCGGTTTCGAGTATTGCACGTGTGAATATAGAAGCCTGCAAAATTTCATTGAAATCGGTGAGGGTCAGATTTGACTTGTTCTTAAAACCCACAGAAATTCCCCAATGATTCGAAGGGAAATATGTATGTAGTTAAGAAACCGCGTTATTTCCATAGACTAGGGCCCATTGTGTGTAATTTTTACGGGCGTGTAATAATTATTTTCGAGAATTGTGCGAGTTCGGGGGGACCTGAAAATTACCTAGGCCCCTCCGAGAGTTGTAAATTGCGGTGCTGCGGTCCCGCGCGGGATTTTAAGGGTTAATTTCAGGCCCAGAGCGAGATAATAACAGGATCCCCAAAGGACACGGACGAAACTCGAAAACTACGGAAGGAGGGTCCCTTACCTGGCCAACGGGATCGGGGGGGGCCCCCGAAGTTAAATAAAGGACCAAAAGGGGCCCTCGATAGATTTATGACCCGGGCATTATGGATCCAGGCTGCTCGTGGTTGACGGTTGAAATCTACGGGCGTTTCGAATCTCGGAACGAAACTAGCGTTAGCCGACCCGGAATTCGAATATCAAGCATGGGAGAATCGCGAAACGAAATACCTCGATGGGAAAATATTAATCGTATGGGGAACCGACTGATTTTTATCCGCTTTGTTACTCAATTTTTATTCACTCTGCGGCACACGATTTTAAAAGCAAAAAATCCAAATTTCACAAAATGTTTTTTAATATAAAAATTAATAATAAGTTATAAGAATATATATTTCATGTTAACACTTTATGTTAAATAATTGAAATGAAATTTAACATGAAATATATATTATTATAATTTATTATTAATTTGGGTATTAAAAATCATTTTATAATTAAATATTTAACATAAAATATATATGTATCAGCTTTTTGAGGTTAAAAAATATTCCATCATACATATACAGCAAAAGGTGGGACAGTTTTTGACCCACCTAACCTCAAAGAGTCAACGGGATTAATATTTTTTAATACGGGAAATTTTCACTTAATTTTCCACGACATTCCTCGACTTTGATCGAAATTGCTGGGGCTGTCGGAAGGGCAAGACGAATGGCGATCACGAGCTGCCTTGATATGCAAACTTAATAGGCGCGCCGCCATCTTGTTTCAAATTATTAATAGCCTTATTAGCGTCCGACTCTGTCCTAGCTCAGATAAATTCAAACGTCGACTATATTTTAGAGGCTAATCTTCATCTCGATGCATTATAATTTGCAATTCTGGGAATATTGCCTCTCTAAGCCTCGATTAATAATACACCGTGAAAAAATTCATGAAAAAAACGAGGGATGCTGTTAGTCGACGAGAAAATTCTGATCTTTTGGGTCCTTTTAGTGCTCTAAAAATTAGACACTCAAATTTTAGATGCATTGAAATGCATCTGTGGTGAGAATACTCGCCGCCAGAGGGCTACACGCTCTCGCAAGCATTTCACTGAGCCTCCATTCCTATATATAGGGTGGTCCATGCATTCATTGTAGTTCATAACTCCGTTATTAATGCACTTACAAAAAAATTTCAAAGGACCAAAGTTAAATGGCTCGAAGAGCACTACGTCCGTAGGACCTCAGATTTTTTTCAAATTCAACAATGCATTTCTAATTAAGAATTTCACCATTTCTTTAAATGGAAATGCATATTTTTTGTTGCTACGTAAAAAATTACTAAGGTATCGTGGCAAAAAAATTGATAGTTCTCGAGATATTTTCAAAAAAGTATTCTACAGTTCTTTTACTCGCCACCAGAGGGCCACCCGCTCCCGTGTTTCTCGTAAGCGTTTCACTGAGGCTCCATTCGTATATATACCGATTAAATGTGCTCACATGCAACTTCTCACGGCCTAATTAAGCGCATTTCCTCGTTTATCGAAAATATTTCGATCGAGTCGCGCTGGAATGCCCCGTGATTTAGATTTCCTTTCTCGTTAGCGCCTCGACTCGAACTTACCCCGCTGCTTTCAATGGAATGCTTATGTGCGTGGACTTGCGTTCGATTGAAAAAGACCGCTCTCGAGGAAGGTTTGCTCGTTAATACTCGTTTCTTGGCCAAGTGGATCGAATTCACGGCCACTTTATGCAAATGCAGTTGCACGCGAATATGCCGATTCTCAGCGGGGAGCACCTGCCGTGTTCCGCGAGTATCGGGTGTTCCCCCGGGTAGATTCCTCGACGAATCTCCTCCGGGTCGCTCCAGGGAAATGTATCCCGGAAAAGCCCCGGGAAAAAGAGAGAAAAAAAATTGGATTAAACGGTGTAATAACGAGGGGTGGGGGTTGTTGGGAGATTATTGTATCCCCTGGAAATCAAAGGACATCGATACAATGCCATTGCCCCGGTGCTAATTATCAATCGGCTTAATGAGGATCCGTTTTACACGAGTCCCCCGACGCCCATGCGTTCGATCGCTGTTTCTCCAATAATTAGTTACATTTTCATGCGGAAACATCGATATGGGAAATACAAAAAGTCGCAAAAGACTTGTAAAATAAATGTCAAAAGAATTTTAAATTGTATAATAAATTAATTGTGGGTATTGTGCGATATTTTGTTGCTTTTTGGAACCAAGATTAATTTCCATTTTATATAATAATTATATTCCGACCAGGGCAATATCAATAATTATATTTTCATATCAAAAAATTTTAAAATAAATATCATGCAATTTAAAGTTTTATAATAAATTAGGTATTGCAGGTATTGTGATGTTTTCGGGGTTTTTGGAAGCAGGATTAATTTTTATTTTATTTGTGTATAGTTTATTGTTTTCTTGTCACATATAATAATTATAATTATTCTTATTGTTCTAATTGGTCAAATTCGAATTATTTCAATTATAATTATTTTAATTGTTCTAATTGATCTAATTATAATTATTTCCATTCTAATTATTTCAATTATAATTATTCTAATTCTAGTCATTTCAATTATAATTATTCTAATTCTAGTCATTTCAATTATAATTATTCTAATTCTAGTCATTTCAATTATAATTATTCTAATTCTAATCATTTCAATTATAATTATTCTAAAATTCTAATTATTATAATTATTCTAAAATTCTAATTATTCTAATTATTCTAATTCTAATTATTATAATCACAATTATTAAGTCAATAATTTTTGAGTAAATGTATTGACCAATACAATAACACATATATTGGTGAATGCATAGGTTCAGATATTAAATAAGAGTGATAATAACAAAAAAAAAATATTCCAAGCAACTGGAATACCAGTGTCGATTTACCCCGAGTTTATTTAATATTTGTTTGGAATTTGAGTAGTTCTTGACCCACGAGCGTCACAATAGGGAGTCTGAAGGTAATTTCATTGGCCCGTGTAACGTTTGATGGACGTGTTTGTGCAGTGGCAGCGGCTTTCGGGCAAGACGGCGACCTGTACTTCTCCGTGAGCCCCGGCGAACACTCTGTGGTCGAGGGATCCCCCGTTCGTCTGAGATGCGAGGCCCAGCCGACAGCCAGCGTCAAGTATTCCTGGAAAATCGACGGTCAGCCCCTGGCACCGAGCCCTAGGAGGCACCTGTACAACGGCGACCTTCGAATCACCAGGGTGAATCGTATCCTGGATAGTGGGAACTTCGTCTGCGTGGCCACTCACGACGAGACTGGATACTCCATCGAGAGTTCGCCAGTCAAAATCGACATACAATGTGAGTAAACATTTTCTTAATTAATATTCTTATTTATTTACAGAAATTTATCATCGTTAGATTTTTTCATCATGAAACTATTGCTTTGTCTTTATTTTTTTAGAATTTTAGGGGTGGAATTATATAGAGAATTTTTAATTACACCCCTTTGCACTCTAATGGCAGTGCTATTGCAGTATAATATCTACCACGACTCGATTCAAGGTTTATGGTACGAATTTAGTCAACGAAACCAGTCAAACAATTTCATTTCTCTGTTTTATCCAAACAAATTCTTATAATATTCATTTCCCCGTCGATAAAAAATCAAATTGTCTCAGGAAAATGAAGTAAACTTCTCAAGATACGTAAATATTACTAAAAAGTCCCAGAAGAATGAGAATGAATCAAAAAACTACTCCTGAACGTTTTATCGAGGGAGTTGGGCGACGCTTTAACGAGGAACCCTTTCTCAAACCCTACTGAATATCTCCCACGACTCGATTCAAGGTTTACAGTACAATAACAACAGTATTTACTCAACGAAACAAGTGAAACAATTTTAATTCACCATTTTATCAAACCAAATTCCAATAATATTTATTCTCCCGTCGATAAAGAATCAAATTACCTCAAGAAACAGTAACTGAACCTCTCAAACTACATAAACATCACCAAAAATCCCCAAAAGAATCTGAATAAACCAAAAAACGACTTCTGAACGTTTTATCGAGGGAGTTGGGCGACGCTTTAACGAGGAACTCTTTCTCAAACCTTACTAAATATCTCCCACGACTCGATTCAAGGTTTACAGTACAAAATCAACAGTACTCAGTCAACAAAACCAGTCAAACACTTTCAATTCTTAATTCCATCAAACCAAATTCCAATAATATTAATTCCCCCGTATATAAAAATCAAATTACCTCAAGAAACAGTAACTAAACCTCTCAAACTACACAAACATCACCAAAAATCCTCAAAAAAATCCGAGTAAACCAGAAAACGACACCTCTGTGCTTTATCGAGGTACAATTCCAACGCTTTAACGAGGAACTCCTCCCCCCGCCTACCAACTAACGATTTCGCCGCGTGGGCGTGTTCCAGACACAAAACCCGACAGATTCGCAATTAATGCGAGCCTGGGAATCGTTATTATCGGCCCCGAAAGAAGATATTATATCGTTTAACGCGGCGGAGCGTCGCGCGATAATGGACCGCGGCGTACCTTCGCGCTTAAACACGCGGATTTTTTAACGAGCCGCGACGCCACTCGTGCACGCCCGCCATTTAATTAATAACGGCGACGCGAGACCATCGCGCGATTAATTTTAAGCGCGAGTTTCGAAACCGATAAACCGATATACAGCGTTAATCCGAGCTGATTCACGGTCCCGTTGCTTAATCGACAAAGTACGAACGTAGACTCGTTTCGAGGGGGGGCAGGGGGGGAGGACGACGACGCGGAGGACAGTTCACCCCCCTCGAAGGGGCGGTTGGATTCGAAGCGACGGGGATTTTTACCGCGGCTATGTTATTCTCACGGCACTTTTTAATCGCCCTTTCTCCGCAAAAGCGCAGATCAAACGCCTCCTGTGCGGAGAATTACGCGTGGTCCCCGGTCAAAGAGAGACGCGCAGAAGTCGCGGCGGACCGGATGGCATAAGGGGTGGGTTTTTCCAGGGGCGGGGAAGAAAAGGGTCGAATACGCGGCGAGATCGATTCGCGATGGACCCGCGTCTCGTCCCTGTCCAATTTATCCGCCCAGCGCGACATTAATTAAGCAAGATAATTTGCCCTCGAACCCCGTGGCTGCCCAATATGGCGTCGACGGGCGTAGACGCGCGTTTTAATGATTTAAAATTTTTAATGAAAAGGGAAGAGGGAGGAATATATATAATGTTACCATTTTTCTCATTTTTTTTTTTTTTTTATTCCTGAAAACACGCGTGAAACGGGGGGACGGCCTCTTCCACCCCCGTGAGGGGCGAGGGAACGCAGTTAAAGCGACGAAAAAAAAATATGTACGCGTCGGGGGTGGAATGGGGGGGTCGGCGATACTGAATGAATAATGAAGAAATTTGCGAAAAAAGAAAAAGTACATATTATTAAATCGGGGGAAACGTCGAGTACGGGGTGGGAAGAAGAGAGAGAAATAGTGGTGAAATGGTTGATGGGGGGTGGTGGAGAGAAACGACGCCAGGGCGTCGTTAGCGGACCCGGCACCTCGTTATCATGTATCGTTTCGTAATTATTATTACACGCTGCTGGCAACCCGGTGAAGTGCACCGAGCAACGAGTACATTTAGCGCGTGCTTAATACCCCGTCGCCGGGGCTCGATTCCTTTTGATAATTGCGATAAATATAATAATGATAATGACGATGGGAACGTTTTCTTCGACGCGCGACCGTTTTCCGCCACCACCACCCCCTCCGCCCCGTGACGGGGGTGCCTTTCGTCTAGTCGCGGGATTTCGAGGAACGCGACCCTTTTCACCCCGCGGTGGATGCTTTGAAACGCGAACGAAGGGGGGAAATCGTTAATGGAAATGCAGTTTGTCCCGGGGTGCGATCGAAAATTATCGCTGGAGGAAGCGCCGAATTGCCAGCCCCCCGTGTTTCTTTCTTGGGATCTTCTTTGTTGGTTAAAATAGAAAAATGGAAAATGGGGAGGCATTTGGAGGTGAAAGGATGAATTTAAAATTAATAATCCATTGAAATTCAAATTATAATACGATGTAAGTGAAGGTGGAAATTTTTCTAAATGCAAGAAAAATCGTACTGTGGAAGGGTAGTAAAATAAGGGTGATGCATGCTTAAGAAAATATTAATTAATGAAAATCGTTAATGAAAACCTAACCTCAACCCATATTTCTTTCACCATTGGACCTTCTTTATTCGTTAAAATACAAAAATGGAAAATGTAGAGACATTTGGGGGTGACATTAAGTTACATCAAACCCTTACGCTATAAAAAAATTGTCAAATATCACTTCTCGTTTTACCATTCTACACGAGTTTCCCTCATTAAAAATACTAAAACTTTACACGCTTGTAGTTCCGAAACTATTGAAGCTTTATTCAAAATTAAACCGCCATTAGCAGGGGCAAAGCTTCCTCTTTGAAAATGGTTTATGGTTTTTCTCGATCCGACTTCCCGTTTTCGAGATATCGCAGTTTATATAAAAAGCAATTTTCCAATTTTCTCCATCTCTCGTTATTCGCCTATATCAACGAGTATTAAAATTACTAAAACTTTAGACACCTGTAATTTCGAAACTACTAGCGTTTTTTGCAAAACTCGGCGATCGTTAGCAGCGGTAAACCTTCCTCTTCAAAACAGTTTTTGGTTTTTGACGATCGGACATTCCGTTTCGGAGATATCGTAATTTATGTGAAAGGTAATTTTTTTAATTCGACCATCTCTGTCTTCGTCTGATGCGTCGGACCTCTTTGTCGCATGTGCATCGTGCTGCACCACGAACGCGACTGTCGCGACCTAGTTTTATAGTACTGTTTACTGTTTACTATTTACACGCGCGGTCATTGACCCTTTGGAGCCTCGAAACTCCGAAACTAGCCACCGCATCGACTCGAAACTAAAATCGCTATATCTCCGGAACTAATAAAGCTATCGACTCGTTCGACCACTCATTTTAAAGGGTATTTCATCCCCTATCCGATGCATGCAACATCTATCATTTTTTATTTTATCTTCTACGTTTATTTTGACATGTACTTTGACACTATGCACCCAAAAAAGTCTCAGCAATAAAACCGAATTATAAATTGTCTAATCGATTGAAAATGAATTTAAATTTGTATGCAGGATGTTTGCATGATTACCAGCCAGCACAGCTTTCTCTACACATGACGCAAAAATTAAAAATACCTTGCCTCGTAAAAGACGTATATGGGAATGCATTAGCGTTGAAAGATTCGTGTTCCCAAGACAGCGGGTGGTTCCCCAACATTCCTGTGTCGGCCTCGGACTCGGAGCGTGCAATTATCGCGCGGGTCGGCCGGCGTTAATATTAGAGGCCGCTTAATTAGCCATCGGATACTCGTCCACCGCACCAGTGTCACGCTGGAACCGAATCTCTCGGATCGCGTGCGTCCAATGGAGATTCCCGGTTCCGGACGGAATCGAATTAAGGACTGACCTGGGGCTCGGTCAACGCCCTGATCGATCTCTCGCCTCGGAAGATCGATGATCGCGACTCGACCCACGAGGACGGGTTAATTATCAATCGGGGAAACAAACACGATTGATGCAAACAACCCTTGTATCCTCCGCTATCGTGGCGGCGGATTGTAAGACGAGGATTTGCAAACTTTGCTCAGAGTCTCATCCCCCTTCATCCCCTTGCGTTAATCTTCCAGCAGAAATCGGGATAATTCTCAGCGTGTTTAATGTTACTTAATTAATGAAAAGTAAAATTCTATTGCAATTTTTGGGGGGAAATTTCTAAATTTATCAATTTTAATTTATGCATTTAATTAATGGGAGATTTTGTTGACTCCTGAGGCAAATTCCTAAGGCTTTAATAATAGTTTTATAGAGTCTGTTTTAACAACAAATTAGGATTCTACTTCTACTTTTTGCTATTTTTTATTTGTAAAAAAACAATCTATGAACATGTTATGAAATATTAAAATTGTTTGAAGGTGTTCATCCCTTAGTTTCTAGCTTCTGTTTTGATGACATAGCTCCTCAAATTATTAAATAAACTATACTACAATAATAAATTACTGTTATATAATAAAAACCATATTTTGTTGATATTTAAATTTGCTTTGAATGAACACAATGCTTATGAATATATGAAATATTAAAATATTTTCCTGACTTCTGGATCGTGCTCGTAAAAATCGTCGATCGTAAAAATAAAAAGCCCGACAAGGTCCCGGCGTAAGTGGGTCGTATACTCACAAAAATTCCTTATCTCTTAAAGAATGTTTGCTCTCTGGATGCCAGGGTGCCATGTGCGTCCAGGGTCGTATACTTCCCGATCGTCTT